CTAAAACTTACAGCTGATTAATAACGGTATCTAACTTGAGTTTTTATCAAAAACCTGTTGAAATGCTACTGTTATTGTTGTTGTTTACTGTCCCCATAAAGCGCATCGGCAGCCTCCAGGAAAGCTTCTTTCACAACTTCGCCGTCTTTGAAAGACTTCATGTGTTTCGCAAGAACGTGACTGACACGATAAGATGCTCTGGTAGCAGCCTTGCTCTTGTTGTTGGCCTGGTGAAAATGGACTGCTGTGCATTTAGCTGTCCTTTCAGGCCCCTCCCCTTTTGGGAGCGTAGGGCAGAATTAGGAGGGAATTCCGTCTCGTAGCGTTTGTGCACTGTTTTGAAATGCCGCTCCGAAATTACCCTTCTTCGATAAAGCCACGCTCGCATTTCAGATGAGACCGATGGACTTTGAATTGGAATAGATACAAAAATAATCATCCTCCCACTCGGAGTTAAAATTATATATGTTTTGCTTCTGCCATAATTGCGGTCTTGTTTGTGTGCGGACTGTCACTCCTGTTGACACGGACAACGTTAGCGAATTAGTGCACTGCCCACTAGCCACGCCCCGACACATGGGGTCACGCCGGCCAATCACAAAGCTTTGATGCGTTCAAGTGCATTATTCTGGCACAGGAAGATTATGTTATAGGACATTAACGATAAAACTGAATATTGTTGTTCTATTTTTAGACACATCTCGCGATCGACTGGGAATCTCCCCGCGATCGACCGGTTGGGCACCCCTGTTCTAAGTCATTGTAACTGGCCACTGGTTACCAATGGTGCCTAATTAAACCCACTTTTATGTTGTGTCATCACCATACATGTATATACTGTAAATGTGTTTATGATTAAATAATTTTTAGTAAATATGGTTTTGTCCCATAAATGTAGCCTCTCTATTTTGCTGCTTGATTTACAAAATTATTTTTATAAATGCATGATACAACTGTGAAAAGGGTCCCGCCCCAAAAACATATCAAAAATGCTTATTATATATATGTATGTTAAATATACAAATAAAATAAAAATGATCAAATTACTTAACTCCCAAATATTGCAAAAGCCTCTCTCATGAGGGTTTCCATTTTAATAGGCGTTAGATCGGACCATGATAAAAGGGGATTTCAGCATAAACGGCTATCCACATAGCTGCACATTCACTGGCATTACAAGTCGGGGATCACACAACCACCGAGGAGTAGCGCTAGAAGATCCCTATTGCCATATATGATCAAAATAAGACGGCTTGGCAAGAGAAGGGGGTCAGCAATAAACATCTGAGCCTAACCCCCTGATCCTCTTCCTGGTTCAATCAGACTGTTGCTCTAAAAGACGTCTTAAACCTGATAACAAGACGTACTGCTGAGAGGGGGAGGATCAACAAGAACAACACAATCAATGAGGACTTGGAAAACGGCTGTACATTAAACCTCTGCCTGAGAGGGTGTGCTAGCAAGTAGGGATGCACGATATTGGTTTTTTGAAACCGATACCGATAACTTCCTGCTTCTCAAGACCAATACCAAAAAAATGTTTACGCCACTAATTATTTTAACGCGATTAACGCATGTGTATTTTTTTCCCTCGGCCACCCCGTAGTTTCAGAGCGCATCGAGTTTAAAATACCATCTACAAGCTGATGCTGACAGCCCCGCTCCTGTCGCCCGCTTGTGGCAGACCACACTTCCACGCTCACCGGCAGGCACCGACTGGCCATCTGGAGGACCGGGAGGGTGTGTGTATGTGTGGCCCGAGCGAGCGAGAGACCTTACGTGCATTGTTGTTGTTAGCATCTGGTGCTAGCTAGCTGCGCTAACGGATATAAGGAGCTGTTTAAATGAAAACAGAGGAGCGACATTTCGCCACAACTGCGCCGAGCACTTGACTTTATGCAGGAAGCCAGACAGTGGGACATTGTACACAAAGTCAGCACACTCAGCAGGGATAGTGCGCAACATGATTGCAGCGTCCAGGCAGCTCCGGTTCGAGCATATGCCTTGAGTTGCACATAGCTCCAACGCCCATACCACCGACGACATGTTTGTTTACTGTCCTGGCTTCACGAGTTAGGGAGCGCTGGATTTGTGAAACACTCCCCTCTTCCTAAACCACTAATACCACAGTACTGGCAAAACGGGAGGAGCCGAGTGAAAAACAAGCGCCCCCCATCCCAATCCACCCACACCGCAGTATTTTTTTCTTTTTTTTACCCAAAAAATATATTGTATATTATCGGGGCTATTCATACTGGTATCGGGTTTATCGGGATGACGTCATAATTCCTAATATCGGACCGATAATTATCGGGCCGATAATTATCGTGCATCCCTAGTAGCAAGCCATCCACACGGTTTGCCCCAGTCTGACCCCATTCTTAAACACTGTGCTTAACAAACTCCCTGATGACCTAAAATGCCTTTCCAATATCTGTCTAGGGATTTATCCCAGATTGCCAGGCAGATTCTGTTCTTCATATTTCATGTCAAACCTTTATTTTCCTGAAAAGCGAATGCCAACTGGTACACTGACAGACTGGGAGCTTACACTTTGCCTCGGTCAGCACTTTGGGAAACATTAAAGCGTTTGCCCTTCCATCTCACTTTACTGACCGTTTGCTCGCTCCAGCAGTTCATTTACCCGATGCAGCAAAGGCCACAGCTCCTGGTCCACTGTGTTTTGACCAAGTAGAGGCAAACCACTGGTCTGTGGAGCAGGAAGCTGTCGGTATGGCCTGATATGGCCTCAGTCCCAGGCAGCCAGACTGTGGGCACCGCTGCAGCCCTGGCAGATTTGGTTTTTTTCTGACCATGTAGCTAAGCATGATGTTGATACAGCTTTTACCTACATAACTGTCTTTCACCTCATACTTAGTCTGGAAATGTAATGCAGGTGTCTGGCATAAAAAGAAACCAAACCTGAATGTTTTGTCAAGACACGGCTCTTTAGCATGCCATTTAGTAAACCCTTCCAGGAAGGGAGAGGGACACAGAGAGGACGGTGAACCCGAATTATTGCAAGAAAAACCCTTTGTTCAAGGAAGGCTAGAATCTATCCATCTGGAAAAATGCCTACAAACACTCTCTGGATCCAGCTACTCAAATGTGAGAATTTGCCACATCTGCATTTTCATTTCTGTAAACGTATTACATTTTGGACATCTTCACAGGCAAAACATGCACATTTTAGACACATTGAGCTTTTGGAAAGTGTATTTTTTTCAGTTTCAAATGTAATACACTTGATGGAGCATGGTTATTAAGTGTTCATCCACAGAAGTTGTCCTTTTCCTCCAGTGAGTTGTGGAGAGGCCGGCAGCTCACTGAGGGCAGCAGGCCTGAGAATAATGCCAGAGGATAATAGGAGTCAGTGACATCTCAAAGTCTCAGCAGCGGATGTGTTTAACCAAGCCTATTAAGACCTGGACTAATCCTGCTTTACACGTCCTTATCCAGGCGTCCACTGACAGCCTTAACTCACACAGGATGGGCCACTTACAACATGACTGACTGCAGTTCTTGCTTGCTTTCTGCCTTTCACTCAGACACTTCAAGTGTATTTTGATATATGCTGTCAAAACCATGCATAATATAAAACACCACATACTCCAGCTATGTTATGTACAGAGTGGAAATGATCACCTTATTTTCTTCAAAATTCTGGAATCACTTTGTCATCCCAAACCCTCCATTGATCATCTGGCCAGAGAAATATAATTGCAGCAAAGAAGCAAAGCATTTCTTAACTGCGACACAAAAACAGCACTTTTACACGCTCACCTTGACCACCAGGTAGGACAGGGTGCAAGAGCGAATAAAAGGTTTAACAAAGAATAGAACGTGTCCCATCAACAGTACGGCTCTAGTGTGGCCTACTTATCCGAGCTGATGTATTCAGCAGGGAAATGAAAGGAGACACACATGTCAAATAACCAGGGCTGCTTTTGGTGGGCAAGGAAATGGGAGCAAAACGTTTTGAAACGAAGGATGCAACCTAGATAATTCCAATTGTCCTAAAAATTGACGCTTTTTCCAAGGAGCTTTCACACTTCTCTGTTGTTTTAAGTGGTTGGCTGGTCACATGCACACAGTTACAAGTTAGCCTGTTCAAAAGGTGCATGCACAATACATTTTCCTGAGAGCAATGATAGTACATTTGTGATAAAGCAGAGTCTAATGTTCCTTTCTGTGTCCACAGAACTATGAATCAATGCAGTACTGAGCAACTTATTCAACAGCAGCTCCCACCTGCCCACACACCAGCTATAAAAATAGCTAACCTACTCAGCTAGACTCCAGGATGAGGGGTCAAATCCCTCAGTATCTCTGTCCTCTGGACGGGTATATGTGTGACACTGGGTGCAAGTTAATAAACAAGATAAATAAATAAAAAATGAATGAATGGGCACCAGGCATTGTATAGCTAAGGCACCTGCAACCTCACCCAATTGTACAAATGTTATGCAACCTGTAAAGCAACAGTGTAAAACAATCCAAAGCTGGTGCTGCTGCTGCTTCTCCTATTATCAAGTGACCATCTTCACCTTTTAACAACCATCTTCTAGCTGACCAGAATGGCAGCTTTGAATCTGACCAACTGATTAGCTTTAGGGCTAGTCAAAATTGTCATACTGGCCCACTGACAAGCATGTGGTAGCCTGTAAACGGTGACATCTTAGTAACTTCGATGCCAAATGAGCGGTGGTCTGCACATCAATGCAAAGACAAAACACTCGAGGAAAGACCCATAATATGTGACTGACCAGTTCTTGTAGATATGCACCCAATATTACCAGCGAACCCTTGTTTTACTCCGCAAGCTACAAGACAAACCACGCATTTTGTAAATCATGCCATAACGTTACTCATACTGAAACCAGGCTAGCAGCCTTAACTAGTAGCATAGGAGCTAGCATTGACAAGAAGGCCCAAGTTTTCCTTGCAACGACACAAGACATGGTGATAAACATGTATACGAAATGTAGCATGCCACATACCGAGAAGAAGTAATTTCAGCTCTCTCCTGGAGTCTCGCTTGTCTCGGCGGAGTTGTTTGTCAATTTCTGCATTGATTCGTTTCGACTCCTTCGCCTCTTCGCTCAGGCAGCAAGCCATCATGGACTCCAGAGTCATCCCCTCTAGTTTTGGCAGCCCGGTTAAGACGGGACCTCGGCACACGGTTTCAGCTTATCCCGAATCCCCGGTCTTTGCTTCGATCTCAGGGGTGGGTCTGTCGGGCTGGACGGATAGATGGGACTGGGGGGAGGGGATACTAGCTAAGGGGCCTCGCTGTCAAGTCGTCCCCCCAAGCCGAGAGCAAATGCGACTTCACCCGGGTGTTCTCGGCAAATCACAGGAGATTCGGACAGGGGGAGGGAGTCAGGAGACGATGGGGCCTCCCAGAGATGGTCTACCTTAATACGGCTAATGTTAAAATTACTGCCGCAGATTAGCCACTTAGTTGATATCATTAACACCTTCTTCTCATTCGCTGGTCCAATTATATCTTTGCATCTGTCACTGTTGTCAAATGTTTTCTCCACAATCGCCCAAAAGTGGTTCAAAACTGCAGTGTCTTGACATCCAAACGCGTAACAGTTGATTTCTGTTGAATCTCGTTAGCTAGCTAGTTAGCGCAAGTGAAAAGTAGTGCTAGTAAGCTAACGTTAGAGTGATTGCCGTTATTGCACTATTTACGCCGCAGAAATGCGTCCGTTTTTAACGACATTAGCTACCGTAGGATAAATTACACGGAACGGCTACAACCTTGCTAGCCCGCTAGCTCACTTAACAACGCCTCAGCTAATGTTGTGTCAACCCGCAGTGATTGGAACAGCGAGCTGGTTGAAGGAATTTGTCCGCCTAGCTAGCGATAGCAGGGCAGCACCCCATCACGCCCTGGCTCATTTTCACGGTAAAATATAAGGCTACACTACCACAGCCCTGAAAGAGGGGGTCAAATGCGTGCCCGGACCGGTGGCTAATGCCAAAAATGTATGCGCTGCAAACAGCTGGCTTTTGGGGGTAGCTCGTCGCTGGAACAAGGTCGGCACACAAACCAGTCTGATGCCAGGCAAGGAGGAGGAGAAACTGGGGTGTTGAGTGACAGACGGAGGCTTGCATGAAACAGGTTTGTGACAGACCAATTGAATGGACGAGGCGGGTCCTCGGGGTGGGATCCGACAGTGAGCAGCACACAAGTGAGAAGATGCTAAACCCGATGTGTATAAATAAGAAAGAGCTGTTTTTATATATCAATGCATGTGCAATCATTGCTAAATTAAGTGCTACACAATCCTCTGCACTGCTGAGAAAGATCCATGGAAGTGTGGTGCATGGTAATAGATCATCAGGACATTTCAATAAGGATCTGCTTTTTATCAATTCATCCTTAACTGCATTATACTGCAAGCATCAGACAAGACACATTCTTAACGATGGCTGTGGTAGCAGTGACATCTTGTGGCCTTAGAGTTGAGTTGTATGTTAGACCTGTTCACAATGTATTCATTCATTAGGGTTAGTCCATTGGTTTATATAGTTGTTGCTATTTTCTACATTTGTACAACATATTAACATTATACATTGGTTACAAACAGAATCAATGAGATGACACAATATACAACAAACGTACCTTCACAGAAATACATTACGTAATGAAATTGTAAAAAAAAACACTTGTGTAGTGTCTTGATACATAGAAAGTCATAGACCCTTCCAGATGCATCACTAATTACACAATAAAGAGCTAATGCATTGAAGTAAAAACTACAATGTTTCCCCTCTGAGATCTGAAGTATGAAGTAGCCTGAAGGAAAGTACTGAAATTACAAACACTTAAAAGGGGACCTATCATGCAACATGTACTTGTGTACGTCTTTTATACATGAATATGTGTCCCCGGTGTGTCAGGGAACTCACCAAGTGTCAGAAAACACAACCCTCTCTCTTTTCCTCCATACCCAAATCTCTAAAAACGGGGCTGCAACGGATCTGATAAAAACTGATACAGATTTGAAATTGTTCTGACGTCAGAAACGGGGAGCTCCGCCTATATGGGCAACTCTACACCTATCAGGGGAATGAGAGGTTGCGTGGCATGGTAACAGCATTGTACCATGACGCTCGTGCCTCGCCCCCCTCCTTTGCAGGGGGGCGTGGTCAGCTGCAGCTCATTTGCCACAGAATCAGCCCTTGTGAAGACAGGGCTGGAAAAGAGCAAATAGAGCGAAATGAGGCATGGCTACAATGCATGATCTGTTTGGTATTTTGAAAAAAAAACTTCACAGACATGTTTTATATAGGTATGGCCCTACAATATATTATTCAAATATAGCATGATAGGTCCACTTTAAAGTACATGTACTTAGCTTAGTCTTTTGTTTAGACATTTTTTTTAATTATTCTGTTCTTCAAAATAGTCATGGAAGAGTTGTCGGACCTCCTCAGCCTGACTTTGGTCGATGCTGTGGGTTAAAGGCTGTTTGTGTGTGGGCTGAGGGCTCTCTGCCTCTGTCACCTCCACCTGCCACTCCGCCCTGAAGGCATCTCCGTGGGACTCACACATGTTGTGCAGGATGCAGCAAGCTAGAATCATGGTGGGCACCACGTCCAGTCCACAGTCGTTCCTCTTGCTCAGACACTGCCAGCGTGCCCTGAGTTTTAGGAGAGCCTCCTCAGACACACGCAGCGCTCTGGTGAGCTGCCCATTGAAGAGCCGCTGTGGCTGGGTCAGTGCTGTGCTGCTGCCCTTTTCCTCAGGATAGGCCTTCATTAGCCAGCTCTGCAGAGGGTAGCAGGCCTCCCCCAGCAGCACATACCTGAACACAACAGATGATTTTTTACATGCAAAAATGACTAAGCATTGCAAAATGTAAGCTCTTATCCAGCTTAAACCAGTTTGGTTGGATACTAATTGTAAATATGTTGCATGTTTGAGAGGATTGTGGCAGCACTAACTGGTCTGAGGTTCAATTATGGTGCAACAATTAAAATCCTAAACACAATGGCCTTAAATGTGTAGTACTGCACATTTATGTATCGGATGTTGTAGGAGAAAAAGTTAAATCCAAGAGGATCCATTAGCCTAACACCTTATCAATTGAAAATACTTGCCCGACTTGTAGTTTGCTGGTGTGAAACTGTTTATGCTGAAGTGTTTTATATAGTAAAGTTTTAGAATGTGATATAAGTGTATGGTCATTGTGAGCAATGGCACTTGAGACCAAGTGTGTAATACGACTTGGATTATACTTTACGTGATGTAGGAAATATGTAAACAGATGTTTTTATAATAGTATTGCTGTTCGTAAACGCAGCCCCTGTTTACTTGAATGTATCAATAATTTAACTAACAAGGGTTGGGTCATTGAGACAAAAGATCATTTTGTTTATGTTTGTGAGACATGACTACTTAGTACTGAATTTAACCCTGACTCAACCGTCATGCTTTTAACTTTACCGGAGTGAATTTCCCATGAAGACAGGTGGCAGGGCAGACGACAGTCCTCCCTCTGCAGCTGTGGCACACAGCGATGAGTTCTGGAAGATGTCAGCTGGGTCCGTCCCACCTGGGAAACTGGCACATACATCCCAGAATTGCCCCCGGCCACTAACAGCCACCTGAAACACAAAAGACACAGAAAGAGGCACAAGGTCAAAATCGGAAAAAAAGCAAACAAATCTTTTCAACAGCACTTTTGGGTGCCCTCTCTACCTGCGACAGCACTGAGAGCCAGCCTGCAGGGTTGGCATAATCAGACGCGTTGTTTGATGGCGTGATGATGGCTGTGTGGAGTGTTGCTACGGCAGCGACACAGTGAGGGAAGCCCCAATTGGACAGAAAGAGCCGAGCTGAGTCCTCCAGCTCCTGCTCACTGGGGGGCCGCAGGTAGATGGAGCTGAGGAGTGCCACGATGGCGTGACACATGTCCCTAACACACCTGCACACAGTGGACTTCCCCACTCCAAACAGGGTACTGATGGTGCGATACTCGATGTTGGACGCCAGGCGCCACAGAGCCACTGCTACGCGTTTCTCCACCGGCAGCGCCAGGCGGAAGCTGGTGTCCTGGCGAGCCAGACGGGGCCTCAGCTTGTCACACAGGTAGAAGAACGTCTCCCTGCTCATTCGAAACTTATCGAGCCAATCAGAGGGCTGGAATTCTGTCATCACCACCCGCTCCCACCAATCAGTGCTTGGAGTGGTGGACCATGGACGTGTGCGGACGCGGACGTTGGAGCGCATACCTCCTGCTATCATCATCTGGGGAGAAGAAGATTCATCATAAGTTACATTTTTCTTTAAATTAATTCACATAATTCTATCTCACTAGTCACAACTCTCACAACATTTGACAACAGAATGGTGTAAGGACAAATTCTAGCAGGGAAATCTAAGGCCATAAATATAAAAACACTAAATATAACCTGCTACGGTTAGTACAATAACAAACTATACTTCTATCATTGCTAATATAACAAACAGATAAAGAACAGATGTCAAAACAAACATACATTGTCGTGTTTTTTTTCTGCGCCTTTGTTGAGATCTATGCAGCCTAGCACCTGGCTTTACTTTTTATTTTTGTTTCTATAACTGTCACTTTTCTGGTATTTGAGCAGAAATAGATATTTTTAAAACCAGTAACCAATCTTTTAATCCTGGCTCTGTTGTAGGGTTTTATATTTTAAAGTTATACTATTCAGAGAGATGTCATAACCATCTTTATGATTTATTTTTTACTATATTCTGTGAATGATCATGACTTGTTTCATTTTATTTATTTACCATGCAAGTCCTTGCTTGTAAAGCACATTGATTTGTTTAAAAGGTTTATCTGTTGTAGGATTTTGGTTTTATTTTCCTTTTTGTAATGTATTATTATCTGCAGCTCTATTTCAGTTCCTCTTCCAAGATATACTCTATACGTCTGTATTTTCCACAGCAGGTTGTTAAAAAATAAGTGGTAAGAGGAAGAGGCTAACACTGGACCCAATTGACTGTAAAATGTAAATGAGAGGGGGTTTGGGAGGGTCTCTAGCTTACTTTAATGAATAAGTCTCACACAAATAGTGTTTTTACAAACCACAAATATAATGTTTGGATATTTTAATTATAAACTGCTGTTGTGCCATGTAATGTAGCCTGATTGACTGCCATATTTAGCCTTTACATATGACGGTGAATATGCTTGGATATGAAAAGAGCCAGAGAGGGACTGACTGACCATGAGCGTCCTCCTCTGCCTCTGGAGGAAGTACTGCCGATGTCTGATGCGTCTCTGGATCTCACCGCGCCTCTGAGTGTTGGCGTTGTTTAAATCTCTCCTGCGCTTCAGCAGCATGTAAGTCATCAGGAACATGAAGGGCCGCAGCTGCTCCTCTTCCTCCATGTGGACAAGTGCAACCACGAGGCAGCACGCACGGCATTAAGGTACAGTGGTGACAGTAATGTAAATGAAGAGCCTCGGGTCAAACAATGGGCCTGCAGGTAACGCCACTGTCATTTCACTACAAAGCGCAAAGTGGTGTACTTCCGCTTTCTTTCTGTTTGTGTCGGTCTTCAGCCTCTGCTGGTGCTGCCATCTAGTGGATGAATGTAAGAAGTGTTGTCGATTACTGTATGTCACTAGCTTTATATAGAGTCTATGTTGGCTAATATATAACTCTTATAACAAATACACATTAAAATATACACATGTAAATGGAGATTGGGCCTATTTGTTGACTTTTCTGTTTTAGCATTCAGTATAAAAGACATAATACATTTCATGGAAAATAGTGTATTGTTGGTAATTTTTCTAAATGTTTTCCAATAGCTGCATGCAATAGACAGGAATGCATTTAAATGTTTGTACCCAGAATAATTTAATGTCATCATAATACACTGTTAAATGATTACATTTCAAATTGTAGTTAAATTAAGATCTCTTCCACTTTATTAAGTTGAATTATAGACATCAAACAATATGCTTTACAACAAGTGTTATCTTCCAAACAATGGAATTATAGGGTTGAGTGGCATTCTTGAGCAGAGGTAATATCTGTAAGTGTAGATTTGAGGTTACAGGAGGTGCACAGAAGGTATTTATTAACTCTAGAACATACTTCAGATTGTGAGAAACGGGCAACAAAAACCTAGGACAAAACTTTCACCCGAGTGATAAAGAGCTCTGCGGCTGCGTTCTCAAACTCCTTTGCATCCATATCCCCCCCCGGGCCCCTTGTCTGGGCTGTAGCCATGGCCTGACCAAGCTTGTATGGGGAAATCTTGGCACTGGCCTCCAGGTAGCGCTTAGCTTTAACATTAGCCTCCAGACAGGAATTAGATTTAGTATTAGCATTAACACAGCAGTTAGCCTCACTGCCTTGGGAAGTCTCCAGGGCTTCCCTTAAGGTCCCCAGCACGGCCATGCCAAGTGCCCGCGAGGCAGGCCCCTCGTCAGGGCAGCACACCTCAGCGTAAAGCCTCTGAGCCTGCCGGATGTAGTCTGAGAAAACTGCACATGTGAGCACACCGTGACGGAAGACATCATAAGGGACGGCCTCGTGGTCTTGGCAATGGAGGCGTCGAAGGAGCGGGGCGGAGGTGGAGGCAGGAACTCCACCTTCACTGCACAGGCACTGCAGAGTCTGTGTGTAGAGGCCTCCCCTCACTCCCCCTCCCACTTCTGTCTGGCTGTCATTACAGGAGCCTTCAGGGCACTCAGGAACCTCAGCTGCACGTCTGCGGGGCCCGGTGCTGTTCAAAAGGTCGTAGGCCACACAGACGTTGTTGCTGAAGGCAGATCTGGGTTTAAAATGAGAAATGGGATCAAAAATGTAAGATAAGATACAAGATAAAACAAAACTTTTAGTTCATTCTGAAGGAAATTATTTTGCGACAGATAATGCAAAATCTCTATTTCTGTTGAGTGACTGACAATAAACTTAAGTCTTTAATGGTCGTTTATCACGTTCTGTCAAGGGTTCTTAAAATATTCTAAGGCGGTAGTAGTTGGTAATGTTGAGAAATTGTTAATAAATCAATCAATTGTGCAGTTCCCCCATCTAATTGGTGAATTGAAAAGATACAAGAGTAACTTAAGTGTCATGGTGAAGGAGGATAAACAGTAAATAATTTACCAAGGATTAGCCATTTGTTACACTATAAAACTTACATTTTGCAGTTTCTTATCAGTGCAATTGACTATGAAAAAGAATTGACTACATAGGTGGTCACACAGACCCAAAAACAACAGACTTCTACAGTCTCTCATAATAAACATGCACAGAGAGCAATGATTAATTGGTTTTATCTTATATCACTATAGGCTATAGAGGTTTCAAAATTACACTAATGTAAGATTACAAAGAGCAAAAGATAACATTTGCTTAATTAAATAGACTGCTGCTGAAGTATAATCATATGTTCTATTAGAATAATATTTGGTTCATTATTTCAAAAAAGCAATGTCAAAGGGTTGTGGGTTAGGACCGTAAATCTCTGTGCCCTGACCTCTGGGAGTGGTGTGCCAGCCGCAGGTGCCACAGAGCCCGATTGAGATGCTGCTGCTCCTGCGCGCTCTGCGGCCCGTTGTTCATCTGATCCGCATCGCCGCATCCAGCTGTGCCGGGCTCTGTCACCGAGGCGAGGTTACAGAAGTGGTCGGCCAGGAACCCGATGGGATCGTCCGACCTGGCCTCCACCATCTTCAGAATGGCCCCGCGGAGCAGCTCTCCCACCCCGGCCTGCGACAGAAACTCCCTGTCGCAGTCCGATTTGGTGGCTTTCCCATCGGGCATCCCTGGAGGAGCTGCCCCGGACCGGCGCTTCTCCTTGTCCGCCATAGCTACGTCCCGTGATGCAGCAACGGAAGTGATTTAATACCGGTCGGGAGACAGGAAATTGACCCGTTTATTTCGGTGTTACATATCGCAAGAAAAAGAAGCGAAATTATCCGATTTCTACAACAGCCGAAAGCCTTAAAAAAGAAGACCTGTCTCCAAAATCACTCCGCTCTGTCTGCTGGTTGCTAGGGACGCTGTGTGACTCGTCAAATAGTCCGTTCTGGGGCGCGTAGGGATTCTGATCCCTAATGTTAAGGTCGGGTTAAGGTGCTCATTAATTCCCATTCCTCTCACTCTTTGTGAAATCCATTGTATTTACTGAAATAAAATCTGAACACGTTGTTGCTGTTAAGTGAAACACAGATTAAGAATATGGAATAATAACAACATTCTAAATTGTTACACCACAGTTAGGAATCATTTTACATACTAGTGCAGATACAATACAGGCTAAAATCACTTTACAATAAGACTTCCCTTATAAAGGGTTTACGAATAGTTTGTAATGAATTTATTAATTAGATTGTGAACACTTTATAAATCATTAATAAGCTTTCACAGGACATGAGATAAACAGGGCAACTGTGACCGGTTGCTTGCCAAATAGTGAGCCCACATTTATCTGTACTGCTTTATATTGGCTACCTAGCTTACTTCGTCATTAGCCAGCATCCTTGGTATTTGTTGTTCACTGAGTTGATTCCCCTCCTTCCATCTTGATGTTTCTTGGCATTTCTTATGACCATATGAATGAGTTACTAACATGTATAACTGCCAAAAGGGAGCCTTATTGTAAAGTGTAAAACACATTCCCATTTGGGGGGAGCATCAACTCGGTGAACAACAGATACCAAGGATGTTGGCTGATGAAGAAGACAAAGTAAGCTAGGTAGCCAATATAAGGCTTAGTCATCTTGCCAAATAGTGAGCCTGTGTTGATGTATGAAAACTGTTAGAACTGGCTTATAAATGGTTCTTAATGATTAATAAAGTGTGTACAACCTAAGTAATAACCTAATTATAAACCCTTTATAAGGGTAGTCTTATTGTAAAGTGGTACCAGATAAAGCACCAAACCAATATGTTTTAGTTATAAATTTCTTTGAGGATAAGGTATATGTGGAAGTTAATGTTTGTACAGTTTAATTTTGTGTTTGAATCAGAAACTGTTTGAGGAATAGATGTAAACAAATAACATTTTAAAACAGTAGATGACATTGTTCTTACCCATTCTTTTTTTACCATTATCATGTTTTTTCATATGGTATTGCAACAAACGCCATTGCTTGTTACATGTAACTTCAGATGTGGCTCAATAAAGGGAAAGGTACACAGAACACAACAATGAATGCCTCAGAAATGTTAAGTTTAAGCAATATGTTAAGGTTTATTGTATAGAACATGATAACAGCCCAGGTTATTGCTAACCAAAACAGTCAATACAGCTCCAATATTGTCATCCTCTATCTTTAAACAAAACATATGGATGTCTACGTAATGGCCGTGATATACATACCAACATACAGTAAGTTAGGAAGATGGCCTTCGATCATCGAACAACAAATACATCATTTATCAATAAAGTTTTTTTAAATGGCTGCACGATCAGTTTCATGTTTGTTAAACATATGAACCTATTTCTAAGAACGTTACTGTACAATTGGATATTAAATATGCATTGCACACACAAAACTACTTCCAAGCAAATAAAAAGCTTTTACTCGTTAAAATATTCAGTACATGGTTAACTCTGCTTAAAAAAAACAGATATTTTTAACAAAATAGCTTGGTTTGAACACTGTTACGCCACGTGGAGATTATTTTAGTGTACTCCATATATGCCTCTGTTGATGCTCAGCAGCTATAGAGGACGACTGAATTAATGATATTTAAATGTTGCAGCACCATGCCATTTTTTATTAATAGGCCAAAACTTGTTGAATACCTATGTTGTTAAATGCATCCTACATAAATGTCAAGTTTACTTTGAAAGTTGTAAAACCAGTGTTATTGTTTTTTGCAATGATAGACAAATCAAGTTTACAGTTAAGTGTTGTTAAGTTTCACTTGTTGGGCTGTAGTGTTGTATTTGTAGTCATAATGCAATGTCTGCGTCGCCGCCTTGTGCATGGATGCCATTTGTTAGCGGCACATGGTTACCATTGGTGAGGACTACTTTCTTTGAAGCAGTCACATGACCGTTGATGTAGGCTGCTTGTGGAGGCAGGAAGTTCCTCTGCAGCTTGTGCTCCAGCAGCATGTGGTTCTGGGGAGGAAGGCCCAGGCACGCTCTGAAAAAGACAAGGCGGGAGACTGTTATCAACTTCTGTCAACGAATGAAACGCATAAATAGCACACCTGTTTATAAGCATTGTAACACCCAATAGAATAAGCTCCTGAAAATGTAATCACACCGTAACCTTTGTGGATGTGATAAAACCCAATGATGATATAACTTGACCAATAATGTAATCAAATGAAAAGAGGACGTTGTTGGCAAAATGAAAAGAACATTTTATGGAGATTAAAGTCAGCCCTGTCCATACCTCATGATATTTATTATGCTGGCCCTCTGGCGGAAGAATGCGTTGATGACCGGGGTCCCTGATGGGACCAGGGGGGCCTTGCAGAGGAAGGAGAGCAGGGCCAGGACACTGTGGAAGGACTGGAAGTCCTCCTCCCCCTGGGGTCTGACAGCAATACGCTCACAGAGCTCCGTCAGGATCACCAGGTCCAGGATGATCGGGCTGGCTAGCAGAGAGTCCTGTTGCAGAAAGTGACAAGGAAGAAAGATAGATGAGTAATGGTGGAATCGAGGGGGAACGGAGAAGTTGAAGACATCGATTCTACACTATAGCAGTATCTTTTTTAAGACTACCACTGGGAGTCACCAAATCAAAACTTTTCGTATCGTACACACTGGCATTGGTGCCAACTACACTGATGCAGATAAAATGACACCACATTGTTTCAAGCGTTTGGCTGTTTTTTTAAACCATGATTCAACAACTTTAGTTGTTCTAGTTAACAACAAATTCACCATTTATATGATAGGAAAGTACAGTTATTTTCAAGCAACTTATGTGGAGCATTTTTTTAACACATTGTGTTCTCTAATGTGGTTAACCTGGCATAGTCCATCAGTTTTACAGCCATGCAACCAGAGTAGGTGTTTTCACGAAGGAATGGTGGCGGATTAAAGCAGGTAAGCCAGTGAAACATGAAATAACTTTGTAAATGACGTGAAGATGTCTCTTTAAATTAGCTCCAAAACTTGCTAAGAAGGATTAACAGTAAGCTCTAGTACTCCTGAGCCTCCGCCACCATAACCACTGTCAGATAAAGAAGAAACGCTTTGAACGTTGTGTTGAGCAAGCAATTACAATTTGAACCCTCACATTGGAAATTGCTCTGATATGCCATATTTAAAAAAAATGTCACTTTCATGTTTTACAGAAACAGATTTAGCGGCCACTGACCTCGCAGGTGTTGTGCAGTGCGATGGTATTGGTCCCTCCCATCATTATTTCAGAAGTGTATTCATCCATGGCGCGCTTGCTGTCTGCCACGTAAGGGACATACTTAATCACCACCTGAAAGAACAGAGACAGTTAACAAGTGTGTTGTCTTCAGTCAGATTTGACATGGAGCTCATTATCTTTCTGAGTCTGAGTCACTCACACAGTGGTCAGGTTTCTCTCCCGGCTGGTACAGGATGGGGTTGGACTGCACCATGTCATCCACCACATTGCTCTTGGAGATCTCCTTGGAGCGGAACTGCTCCGGAGCCGACAGGTTTTTCCCATCGTTGTTGCCGAGGTGATTGTAGCTGACAATGGATTTCGGCTGTCGATGGGGGGAGAGGAACTTATTAAAATGTCTTTGTTCAGGAAATACAGTGTCGTGCAAGTTTCAAGCTGTCAACTGGAGCTCTCCCCTAGGATTCGTCCTCTTTGTTTGACCCATTATCCTAAAAAGGAACCCAGATTATAGATATATATTTTAAAGCCATCGCAGGCATGATTGTGAATTAGGGCTCGATGAATTTAAGTGATTTACTGAAGTTGTTAATCGATTTCTATTCCTACATTCCAAATGATTAGATTTAAATATGTTCACGGTGCTTTAATGTATAGGTATGTGTCTTGAATTGATGCGTCTCTATTTTCTTGTAAATATCTGAGTTTTCATGTGTGTAACCAAACCAAAACTATAAATGCTGCAGTGTGTGGCATTGGTTTATTCTACATAGCTGTCCCCATACCTTTATTATTGTTGTATTGTTTTAAGTGTCGGACCCCAGGAAGAGTAGCTTTTGTCAGGAGCAAAAGCTAATGGGGATCCTTAATAAACATAAACCTTTACACATAAACATAGAGAGGTTAATGGGACAAATATAGCTATCTGAACCAGATGATATTTGATTGTTTCTGAATTTTTCCTCTTGATATAAAAACATCTCTGAAATCATAAGCCCCCGTATTTTAGCCTATATAGTTTTGTGATTGTTACAACCACTAGTAGTAACTCATCTGGTTGATATCAGATCGTTACTTCATTAATCCTCCTATCTCACCTTGATACCTGAACTGACCAGGAAGTCAACCAGCACTGACTTGATCTTGGTCTGACCGGATTTGAAGTCGTCTCCTCCGATGAACACTCCTTTCTGCACGGCCAGCTCTATTGCTCCTGGTACAAAGGTGTTCTGCGGGGAGCCGTTGATGTAGGCACAACCCTCCAGTATGCTGGCAACTGCAAACAGAGTGGAGGGAGAAACCGCTGCTCCAGTCTGACGATGTAGAGAAAAGACAATGAAATCATGTCTGTAAACAAGTGTATCATCACAGCTTGACTCACACAGCGTACATTTCCCCCGAGACTCTATTGCACAACTCTATTGTTGCATTCATGCCTATCTGAAATTGAGCTGTTTGCTGAAGATCACAAGTCTGTGAAATAGTTTATTATCGTTACTGACAGCAGTACAAGCATGCTGAAGACGGGAGATAAAAAATAAACTCATCCATGAGGAGCAAATCATAATTTCCTTCCCCTGATCTGATATAAAAGGAAAAGCTGACTCATTCTGGCATTTCATCTACAAATCCACAGTGAAGTGTTAGGGGAGCTAATCTCCTCATCCTCTAAGCTTTATTAATCACTAAATGTGATGAAGGATTACTGTTTGGTCCTCGGCATTAGGAGGAAATTAAAGTTGAATTCATACTACTGGCCACCATCACAATTTAGGTTGGTTTCTAGGACCATTTAAGTTCATCTCTGCTGTAACACACTTAAGGATCTGTCTCTTTAGAGTTTCAACTTTGGAATATATTTTATACGTTTGGAAGTTTTCTGACCAAATTCTGTTCACAGCTCCGGCTCTCACCTTGATGGCAGCAAGCAGGTTCTTGGCAGTGTCATTGA